TTTTACAGCATGAAATGTCTGAATGAGTGCTCATCCAACACTGGTGATTCCATACTTTTTGCCAGGGGTTGTACTGTTGATTTGGGGGGGGGGGGGGAATTTGAAAGTGGTGCATGATTAATTGCCCTTGTTTTCACATTTCATACATTTCTACTTCCACTTTTTTTTCTTTTTTTACCAATAAACAAAATATCTGATATCTATTTAAATAACCAATGTGTATCATTATATGTTTCTTGGTACTCTAATATTTTGATGAACTACAGAGATAAATAATCACACAAATTATAGGATTTCATTGAATTTAATGGTTAATAATTATTTAAAAACTTCCTTTAATGCATTACTTGTTCGAATAGTATGTGGATGTTGGGATCAGTGGTGTAAAATTCAGTGTCCTGTTGCGTCTGTGAACTTTACAGGATGTTTTGGTTACTTTAACCATAATGTCACTTTCTTGTTGAATTTTTTGTCCTTATTTGAGGATTAAACTATTTGTAACATAACTCAGGTTTTGACTATTTCAAGCGTTCAGCATGCTGAAGTGAGTGAATCTTCTTCAGCAAATGTGTTACAAAATTCAGTCATAGCCTGACTTGTCTGATGGTTGAATGATATTGTATGCACCGTTGTCGTATGCACTGTTGTCGTATCCACAAATGATAAAGTAGGGTATTTAACAATGCTTTGGGGGAAAAGGCAGTCACTCAGGCTAAGATAACCTTGTCGATTCATGTTTACCACTTACTATCTCCCTGTTAACCTTAGGTTATAACCCTGGGACTGTTCATTTAGTCTGTACAGCTTCACTGTTGCCCATGGAAACAGAAAATTGTCACCATGTGAGGAAACAACAATGCTAACTAACATTTTCTGACAGGTCACTTTCACTTGTACATCTCTAAAGAGTTTCATTTTGCCACAAATTTCTTGATCTGATCTGACCTGACCTTTTAGAAATCGTTTCCTTTGCTCCTCTCGGAAGCCCGGGTGTCACGGTGCGATGGATCATCCACAGGCCGACGTACCAAAGTTTCCACTTTTAGTTTTCATCTCTTGGCATCTTTTGCTCCCTCTTTTTAATTTCTATTTCGCTTCCCTTCTCTCGTTCTTTCCGTGTCCTCTTTGTGCAGTCTTTCTTTCATACTATTTTCAGTGGCACAGCCAGTTCCACTTTTGATCTGAAGAGCAGATTCCTCAGTGTGTTGGCATGACAACACTCCCGTGGCTCCACAGCGTACTCAGGGTGCTTTTCCTCTTCCGTCTATCGTCTGTTTTCTTCTTTACATTTATGATGTTTGGATCTAAATATTTTAACATTTAAGCTTGTGTTCTTTAGTGTTGTTCGCTTTAAAAAGATTCTTTGGTTAATAATGATATATGTACTATATGAATTATGTATTTTTGATTTTCAGATGCTCACATCGGACACTAAAGGCAGTGCTCAAAATGCTAAAGGTCACAAATTTTTTATTGTTTTTTTAGTTTCCAAATCTGATACTGCTGATGATGCCAGAAAAGTCTGATGCCTGCAAAGCCTATGTAAAGTTTAATATAGTTAAACTTAAGGAATCACAGAGACTGGAGTGTGTGAGTTTCAATGTTAATCAGTCTTTGGTAAACATGGTTGTAGTTAAAATTAGCGCCGTCAATCGATTAAAATATGTAATCAGATTAATCACACTCTCGCCCTTTGATTAATCACAATTAACTTTGTGTAGGCCTGAAATATAAAAATGCACATTTTCAAAAACTGCTTAAGAGAATGTTTTATTGTCTCCAACCAAACATCTACGTTTTTCAGGTTTTCATATTTACGACGGTTTTATATGAAGTCCTTTTGTTGTAATTTAGAAACGTTATCTGTAAAGTGGTTATGCTCCAGTGAAAGAATAATTCACCGTTGTGATAAGTAGGCTACATGCTACCTTGGTTTTATCCAAATGTTTGTTGTCACATCTTTTTTTGTCTTGGTGTTACTGAACTTTATTTGACAGGAATCTGACAGGAAGTGAGTAGACAGACGTGCCGTTGAACTGCCGTTGAACTTTTTGGATAAATCGCAAATGTTGACAGCCTGAGTTTAAATTTAGTGTTGATATGAATTTCACCTTGATAGGACAAACCAATGATAAGTTTGTTTACATCAAAACAACACTTCACATTTTGAATAACAGATTTGCACCAAAAACTTGCATTTTTGCACACTTTTTAAATATATATATATATATATATATATATATATATTTATTTATTATTATTCAGCTGGAAAAATAGTTAAATAATTTAGTTTTATATGAAAAAAGAAATGTGAAAATGAGGAGAACCTCCTAAGAACATCGGGGAAAGACAAGCTTAAAATTTTCTGCCAGAACAAAGGCAACCAAGTTGCTATTGTATTCTTGACATTCCTTTGAAGCAACTGTTTGTGAGCGGGAATATATTTCTATTTAAAGAGGAATCCTCAGAAAAAGGTGAACCTGTTAGGAGTTGTTTCTCTGTTTACCCGTTCTCTTGTTGAAGCATAGCCGACTAGAACCATGTCAGTTTGCCTTGCAGCTGACCTGAAAGTGTTCATAAAGGAGACGTAAGCGCCCGAGGGTCAAAACAGAGTCGCTTCGTGTGTCTGAAGCTTTTATGACCGAGGAAGAAACCGCAGATTCTCAGACAGACATGGAAACAGGGGAGGGGGGGAAACCCCAGTCTTTGTTGGACGCTCGGGAGTTGGGAGTTGGAGTATAAGGTATTCGCTCTCTACTGATTTATTGATGAAACCAAGCGAGGAAGTACAAAATATTTGGATCGAAAACGAGCGCAGGAGCCAGCTAAAAAGACGACTGGGGGACCCACCCGACAGACGAGACGAGCAGCACCCATCGGAGCGGGGAAGGAGGATGATGGGGAGTTTTTATGTATTATTAACCAGCGAGCTTCTTAGATTATTTACAGCAGCTGGAGGAAGGGGGGGAAGACATTGGCTGCTGCGCAAGCATACAGGCGCGTGCACAGAGGGAAGCTCAACAGCGTACTTAAGAAGCCGCAGCATCATCTGAGGTAGTTAACATAATTAAATGTCAGAAGCTGTTAGAGGGAGGAACGAGCGGGGGAATGCTTCAAACAGATCTGGTTACTACTTGAAAACTCACTACAAACGTCTGTTTGCCCCCGTTTATCGCAAATATTTCAGAGTAAACAAACACGTTATTGATTGAATATGCAGAAACAAACACTTCTTCTCTTGATAAGAGAATCGATTCCTGTGTTGCTTGTGTTTTTACAACACTGTATTCTAGTTTTTAGTAGGTGGTTCATACCCATTAAAATAGACAGAAGGGACTTCTCAAATGTCTCAAAGCCCTGAAACAACTACTCCAGGCCAGTAGGGGGCATTAATTTTGATTTTTATCAATACATGAAAACAGATGGGGCTAGGCTAAGATTCTCACTGTATAATTCTTAAAGCTGCAATATGTAACTTTCATTTTAAAAAATAGTTTTTTGCATGTTTGTTAAAGCATGTTGTATAGTTTTTAGTGCAAATATCTTAGCATATTAAAAAAAAAAGACTAAAATAATTCACATGTAAATTTGCAGCAAGACACAGGAGCCTGTTTAAGTCAATAATTTCTTAAAATTTATGTAAAAAGTACTGGCAAATTATTTCACTTGTTACATGGAGAAAATGTCTTATCAGTAAAAACAATATTACAATAACAATCAATATTAAAGAATTATTGACATAAAACAAGCTTCTATATCGTTCTTAAAAGTCACTCATCAGTTAGTTTTTCTTATTTCAAGTGTTCTAAGATATTTCCACTACAAACTACCAAAAACACTTTGTAAGATTTTGTGTTTTTGCAGTGAATATGGTTGACTGTTTGAATCAGATTATTGAAATAAAAACATTTGGATGACATTTAAATATATTTTAAGATAAACCAGAAGTTTTTTTTTGTTTTGTTTTGTTTTTTAGCTGGGAAGTTCATCTTAGGGTTTTTGAGGTTCAAAGATAAATTTCAGTCCTGGCAGTTTGGTGGTTTTGGGCCCCAGAGAAGCTTTATTTCTAGTAGCACCCCTGATCCTTACTCATCCTGCCTCGTCTAGTTTCTCTGTCTCCCTGTCAGGACCCTTCCGGTCTCTCTGCCCAGTTTCAAGCTCATTTGCACCATTTATAAAATTCTTTCTGGCTCATTTAGTTTCTGGCTCACGCGAGGAGCTCTGGCATTAGACAGCACGATGAGTGACTGCGCCCCACGGTGGACATGACACCTCCGTTTCCATCGGCCTCACAAATCAACATCAAGTCATTTCCTCCCCTCCCACCCCCATCCCTATTATTTCCCAGAAATGTTGGCATATTTGCATCCATCTTACTCTTTGGATATTCAGAAACTGTTCACTGGGAGGTACGAAAGCTCCGAGTTTAAGGAAACGGATCGTAACCATAAATCAGCGAAGTTGAAAGTTAAATAAATAAAAAAAAAACATGGTGTTTTCAGTTCTTTTTTTGTTGTTTCTGCAGGTGTAGAGCAACATGCCGCTGGTGAAGAGAAATATTGAACCCCGGCACTTGTGCCGTGGGGCGCTGCCAGATGGGGTGACCAGTGAACTGGAGTGTGTCACCAACAGCACACTGGCAGCCATCATCAAACAGCTGGGTAGCCTGAGTGAGTAATATTTACACACGTTTTTATAGTTTTTCTTCTAATCTCCAGTAGAAAGTAATCCTCACTTACAATAACCAGGTTGAAATCATTTACTTGGTCATCTACTATTTTTAGTAACATTTTATGTGACTTTTTCAAAGCTAAGGACAATTTATTTTAGGGCTTTTGACATACATTTCTCAGATTTATTGTGTTTCTACACATAAAAAAAAACAGCTTAGTTTCAATTGCTCTGCATAAATTTCAACAGCAAAGATGCTTCCAGTCAATTACACCTTTGGTTAATAAAGCCATGAAGCGCAGTTTCTAGTCTGCTGCTGTACTTATTCTCTTTTGAAATATCTCACTTTAAACAACTCATTGTAAATGTGAATAGTTCATTTACTAGCAAGGACAAAACTTCTTGTGAATATTAATCTCCACCCAAATGACTCAGTTGATATATGCAGGGCAAAATAGCTATCTAAATGTGTTTAAAAGTTATGTGCTAAATTATAACTGTGACATCTCATTCCGGGTGACTAAAGGCACTGCCTCTGCTGCGTCTGTCAGACGTAAATTGAGTGGTGGGGACAGAAAAAAAGAAAAAAAAGGGAGGAATAGATGTCTGTTTGCGCATTGCAATCTAGTTTAGTTTGCATTTGCATCTCTCTATCTCTCTTCCTGTCATGGTTTTATGGAGGTATTAAGGTTTTTTTAGTTTTCAGTCTGACGAGATTCACAGCAGAATGCAGCCTTTCCTGCAGAGACAGACGACAGGCTTTTCTTCTTTGTTTCTTTTAATATTCTTTTGCATTTTCAGATAAGTAAATTGAAAAAGTAGATAATCAATGAATGTATTTCTTTTTTTGTTTTGCTTCTTTTGAAACTATTTTCCATCTTACTGTGAGACTACTGGTGAAACTTCAAATGCGATCCGTCTCAGGGTTGCTGGTTTTAAAACCTGTGAGTTGGGATTGTTAGGTCTAATTGCTGCTGTCAACACAGTTAATAATTTGGTTAGCAAACTTAAAAACTTGGCAGGATTGTGCCACATCGGGTCAGATCTTATTTGGCCAAATTTGTGGAAATTCTGAGTCTGAGCAAACAGAGATAACACACGGGGTTCCTCAGGGCCCCATACTTGTGCCACTTTTATTTTATATCAGAAAGTCTTATTAACACGATCTTTTACCACCTCAAAGTCCTGCCAAGAATAAATGGTTTCCTGTCAAAACAGGACAAAAAAAACATCTGCATGCTTCTAGTTTGGATTACACTAAAGATGTCTATACAGGCCTCCATCTTTTCAAGACCAGAACTAATCAAGTGCGGCCAGCGTTGTGTTTCTACACTGTTGGAATTGTCTACAACAGAATGCTATTTAACAGAAGTCCTTGTGCAGTTCGACTGTCGAGATGGAACAACATTTGCTTTTAAATATTTTATGACAGATGTGTGTCTGTAGACGCTGCAGTTCTGGTGAGTGGGGGGACTGATCAAAAGCTGTTGACGTTTGAAGGATGTGAACACCACAAATCAAATCTGACCTCACCTGGGTCTCTGCGCTGCTGCCTAGGTCGCCATGCTGAGGACATTTTTGGAGAACTGTTCAACGAAGCCAACAGCTTCTACCTGAGGATGAGCAGCCTGCAGGAGAGAGTGGACCAGCTGGCTGTGAAAGTCACTCAGCTCGACTCCACTGTGGAGGAAGGTATGCGTGTGTGTGTGTGTGTGCATGTGTGTGTCTGACTCTGGAAAGGTCATTCTTCCACAGAAATACATCCAAGCAGCCATGTGTGTACGTCTGTGATTCATCTTTTGTGTGTTGTTTTGAACAAAGGGATTGTTTCTATACCTGTGTGTGTGTGTGTGTGTGTGTGTGTGTGTGTGTGTGTGTGTGTGTGTGTGTGTGTGTGTGTGTGTGTGTGTGTGTTAATGTGAGTGTTGGTGTATTGTGATTTGCATTTTATGCTTTAAATGTCTTTTCTTTGTTTATAGGTACATGTGTGCTTGTGCTTTGTCCTCTAACTAGTCTTACAGCAATGCTTCATGGATAGAAGAGCTCTTACATTATCATATACAGTACAGAAGAATTCAGATGATAATATTTTCTTGAATGGTGGGGGACTTTGGTTTGTCCCAGCATAGCACACAACAAAAATTAAAAATGGGTAGTAATAATAATAATTTATTAATGACGTCACAGGCAACGTTGGCTTTACCAGAAGGGGAATGTAAATGGTGATGGCAAAAATGTTGGTAAATTCCCTTGGGAGATGGTAAGGGCACATTCTGATGGCGAGGAGTTCGATGTTAGAATCACACACATGATTTTTGACATGAATATGATCCAGATTAAGCCCAGAAGCTTCTGGACTGTTGGTGTCACAAGATTAGCATGTCATAAAGTTAGCATACATGTTTTACTTAGACACTGTAAAACTCACACTAATGACCATAAAATCTATACATATCCTTCTCTACTCACATAAAAAGTCAAAGTAGGTAGTTTGATGTAAGGAGAATGTTTATTTGCCAGAGTAATTCTCAGATGCTACGGTTTGGCGTTCCGTCTTGTCCCTTGGGGAGTATCACAAAAAGTACATGTCTGCTCAGTGCATGTAAACAATCTGTCCTGTTTTTTATTACATTTGTCTACATTATGCTTCCTTCTCATATGATGTCTGTGTGTCTGCATATCCCAAGAGTGCTGGAGTGAACTCACCGCTAAGATGAACCTTACTCTTTAGCTGTGTTTGTGTGCATAAGTAGAGCTTCTGGTTGGTTATTAGACTCTCAGCCATTTGGCTTCAAATTGTCTCCAATAGTCAGTTATATGAATGTAGTTGTTCATATTTAATTTTTGCATGTTTGATTTATTCTCTTTGTAGGTACATTTTGTAAGATTTATATGTTCTAGCTTTCTGCCAAATGCTAAAGTCTGGAAAACAACCTGTAACATTTACAGTTACCTAATACTGCTCATCTGTGGTGGTTGTTGGTCGAGAAGCACAACGGATTAGTCCATCAAAGGTCAAACACAAGCTGCGTTTCCATTACAAATGTGCGCGAAAATTTGTTGATATTCAGTTAATGTCGAAAAAACACAACTTTGCAATTGCGGCGTTTCCATTAAATAAGAAACCCAAATAAAATCACGTGATCAAGTTTGTTCATGCGATAAGTCATTAAAAATCATTCTGCGCAATGATCCTCAAACTCCTTCTTGTTGTCTTCTTCGTGGTTTGCACCAGTGACAACATCCGTTTGCGATGTGAACAAAAGTGTTTCCATTGCAGTTTATTAAAATAAACTAATTTTCCATAAAAACACCTCATCCTAGCACCAAAGCGGTTTATCAAACAAAGTGTTTTTTGAAGATCGACTTGTTTTCATTAAGCAAATTTATTTTCTTTGTGTAAAATTGAGCAATTATATGGCCAATGAAAAGGCACCTACAGAGGCCCACTGGACAAACAACCATAAACACACACACACGCGTGCGCACACACACCAACACACACACACACACACACACACACCTACACACATACACACACATACATAACTGAAGGCAATTTAGACAGAGCCCAGGCCAGGATTTGAACCTTTTGTTAAAAACTGTCATTGCACACTCATTATTCTACTTGTTTAAAACTTTAAAATGATCATTCTGACTGCAGATAAGTGCAAGAATCCAGTGAATCAGTTTTTTGTGGCCGTTTCCAGAGTTTAGAAGATCAACAGATTTGTAGCTTAGTTAAATCCCGTGTTCTGTTGTCATTAACCTTTTTGATGAGACTGAAAGAAGCCACATGTGTTCATGCCTCCTATCTTTTTAGCTCAGGTTTCTTCTCTTTTATCCCACTTTCCTTTTTTTCCATCCTCTTCTCTCCCCATGTTTAGTTTTCATTTTCCCCATCTATTTTATTTTCATGATCCTCTTTTCTGTCTCTATCCCTCTCCTCTCTCTTTTTTCCATCCTTGCCTGGTTCTGCCGAGTCATTCTGCAGCACAGCAGCCTCAGATACCCAGCGTCACAGCAGCGCAGACGGAGATGAAAAGAAAAACCTCAGCAGTCTTTCGTCATACTCTTTCATCCCTCTCCCATTCTTTCTCTTCCACCTCCTCCTCCTCACCTGCTCAGTTTTTCATCTCCTCACTCCCTTGTCCTCCCACTTGCAATCCATTCCTCTGTCCTCTTGATACTATTTTTTTTAGTTCTCTGTTACAGAAGTCATGATTCACAAACCTTTCACTTTTTTATCTTTTACTACTTCTGCTCAGTCATTTCCTCTTGTCCTTCAGTTCGTTTCTCTATTTCAGTCTCTCCATCTTATTTGTAAAATGGCGACACTGATGGCTTCTCTCTAGTCAAGAAGGAAGGAGGGGTATCTGAAATGGGGAAAAAAGAGAAAAAATATCGTAAAGAGAAATAAGGAAGGAGAATATATATTGTAAAGTTAGAATATTTGGTAAGGAGAAATCTGAGTATCTTGTAAGAAAAGAAGAATAAGAGAATGATGCTTAGTCAAGAAAAGGCAAAAACACTTGACATGTCTCTCTGTTATGTAATAAGTAAAACTATTATGTCATGTTCACTTTAACTAGGCCATTGTAGATGGTGTCAGGTTTAAACCGTAGAAGGAACAACTGATTCCTCAAATTATTGTACCCTAAGATAGTAATACAAACCCACGAGCTTTATCACCTTAGTATTATTGAAAATATTTATGACATGTATTGAGAAACAAATGTTTTGCCCACTATCTGTTCACATACAGTACCCCCCTCAGTTATTGGCACGCCTTTAAAAGGCATAATGCTTTAGATTAATTTGTATTTTATTTCAAATGCTAAAAAAAAAAGACATCAATTTCTGTTTCTAAAGGTGTGGAGGCTGGTCGAGCAGATTTTATTAAACTAGCAAGGTGTGCTTGTGCGCTCTTTCACAAGGCAGGCAAACAGTAATAAAAATGCTACTGAAAAAGGAAAATTTGAAAGATTTATGCTAATCTTCTTGTTAATCATCATGTGTCTTACCTTTTTTGGAGTAGTAAGACGACAAAATGAAAAAAATAAATAAATTCTACAAAAAAAAACTACCTCAAAGTAATTCAGAACAATTTAAAATGTATTTATTTTTTATATTCAACAGTGACCAGCTAATTTAATAGGCATCAAAAAGCATTAAATTTAAAACATTATCTGTTTTGCTTTATTTTGCACAGTTGAATATTTCTGATAAACAGAAAACAGTTAAAATAAAGGACTAAAAGCAACAGAATTGAATTCTCCTAGACACATTTAGACCTGTAGAATCAAGAATCACCTAATCAGACCTGTCTGACACAAAGCAGGCTAAAAGAGCTCTAGAACAATCTCAAAGAAACGATAAATAACCATTTTTAAATTTTTTATGTAACAGAATAAAACATTGTGTGAACCAGCAAAATAGAAGTCCTTTTGTTGAACTGCAAACCCCAGATATTTTTTACTGACTCAGAAAATGTAAAAAAAAAAAAAAAAAAAAAATCTGTAACACATTCTTCTGTTTCACCTACAGCAGGGGTCCCCAAACTATGGCCCGCGGGCCGGATCTGGCCCACCTCCTCATTAGGTCCGGCCCCCTGAACAATACCGGATCTGGCCCACCTCCTCATTAGGTCCGGCCCCCTGAACAATACCGGATCTGGCCCGCCTCCTCATTTGGTCCGGCCCCCTGAACAATACCAGAGAGCATTCAGTGTTTTTTTTTCAATATATGTGGATTTTTCATCAACCACCAGGGGGGCTCTTGAGCAGATATGAAACTTAGTTTCCCTCAATGGAGTATATACTAGTCAGTACCAGTCACCGTTTCGCTCACGGTTTTTTTCCATATGCATTCTGGGTAAAAATCTATCTACAAACGCGAATATGTCGTCGGCAGTAATCCAATCCCCCCCCCCCCGCCCCCCCCCATTTCCCTCCCCCCCCCCACACCCCCCTTCCCCAAAACCG